TCCCCTTCTAAGGTTCTAGTGTCAAACCAATGTTTGATTGATGTTTTCCTGGTGAACCAATGAATTTACTGAGCTTACTTACAGAGATGACTGAGGGGTTGCCAAGGTGTATGAATGATCTGAGGGTGTCTCCCAATTGGCTAGTCCCTCCAAGGGGTGGGGCCTGCTGTGCAGCATGGACTACATGGATGACTGCTGGGAGCCATCTTGGGATGGAAGCCATGAGCGTGGTGGGGAATGCACAGTCACGCAGCAGCTCAAGGACAGAATGGCCTGACTCTTATGGCCATTCTGACTCTTATGGCTCTTATGGCTCACTCCACTGGCCCTGGAGGCATGAGCGAATGCTAGCGGTGACTATGGGCATGGTGCAGTCTGAAATGGTGGGCTCTGAGCTGTGGCGTGGGGCTAGGCACTGGGTACTCATTCATGTGTAAGTTAATAAATGCACATAAAGATATGTTATATGGTTTGCCTGATAGTGAAGAGACCCAGAGGGAACTCAAGCGACAGAAGGTATGTACACTGGAAAGCCTTTCCCCAGCATGGATCAAGCCTTCTCTTCCTAGCCTTCCCCAGATTATATACTTTAGTGATCCCCAAATCCAGGAGACTATGTGTGATTAGGGACAAATTACATACAATTGGCTTGGAAGAGTGACTGGATACTCTGGTGAGGATCCACTGGCCCTGCTTTCCCCTCCTTTAATGAGGGAGCACAGCTGTCAAAAAGCCCCGTTGTGATGATGGTTAGCAAACAGGCACTGCTGAAGTTGTGAAGATGGTAGTTATTTCATGAAGAAGAGACTGCTGTACAGCATCATCTTATTAAGGGAACATGGACTTTAAAAGGATTTGGTGCTAGGATCCACAAATGAGGGAGACCATATGTCTTTTGTTTTTCTGAGTCTGTGTTACTTCAGTTAGTATAACAGTTTCTAGATCCATCCTTTTACCTGCAAATTTCATTATTTTGTCTTTCTTTATTGCTGAATAGAACTCCATTGTGTAAATGTACCACATTTTGATAACTAGTTGAGGGGCACTTAGGTTGCTTCCATCTCTTAGCTATTGTGAAAAGAGCAGCAACAAACATGGTTGTACAAGTGTCTCTACACTAGGATGAGTCCTTTGGGTATATGCCAAGGAGTGGTATAGCTAGGTCATATGGTAAGTGAATTTTTAGGTTTTTAAAGAGTTCTCCACACTGTTTTCCATAGGGGTTGCATGAGTTTGCAATTCTCCACACCGTTTTTCACAGAGACTGCATGAGTTTGCAATCCTACCAGCAGTGAATGAGCAGTTCCCCTTTCTCCACATCCTCACCAGCATTTGATATCATTGGTTCTCTTGATCCTAGCCAATCTGATTGGGGTAAGGTGATACCTTAGGGTGGTTTTAATTTGCATTTCCCTAATTAATAACGATGTTGAACACTTTGAGATGTTTCTTAGTCGTCTTTATTTCTTCCTTTGAGAACGCTCTGTTTAGATCTTTAGCCCATCTTTTAATTGGGTCATTTTCTTTCTCATTTCTTTGTTTTTTGAGCTCTTTACATATTCTTCCAGGGATTCTTTAATATTCACCCCAACTACAAAATAAAAATCTACCTGGTTATTGTGTGTGGCTGATGGAGCTTATTTCTTTTTCTTAAGGACACTTTCTGCTTTCTCTGACATCTTTGGTTGGTTTGCTGGTTCTCAGTATCCACTTTCCTACAGATACAGAAAGAGACACACATTTTATATTAAATTGTATAGCATATACATTATAGCAACATGTACACCTATAAGCTTTAAGAAAGAGATTAGAAGACCTGGGGATGTACCTCAGTTGGTAGAGTGCTTGTCTAGCATGCAAGAGGCCCTGCTAGGTTTGATCCCAGCACCACATAAACCAGGCTTGGTGGCACACACCTCTAATCCCCACATTTGGGAGGTGGATGCAAAAGGATCAGAAGTTCAAGGTCATCTTCAGCTACATAAGGAGTTCAAGGCCAGTCTAGGCTAGAGACTATCTAAAAAAATAGAAATTCTGTGTGTATCTATAGAGAAATGCATATCTGTGCAATCTGTGTAGACAGAATTTCTTATTCAAGTCATCAAATCTGGGTGGTATGGTAGGATAACTCTGGATTATTGATGAAGAATTAGAAACCTGGATCTTAGCCTATTTTAAAAGGTCATTCTGAAGATGAAATAGGTAAGCATGGAGCCTCATACCTTGTAATCTTAGCACTAGAGAGGTAGAGTTAGGAAAATGACTGCAAATTTGAGTCCAGCCTGGGCTACATGGCAAAACCCAGTCTCTAAAAGCTATAAATATAAATAAATAAATAAATAAATAAGGTGATAGGCTTAAATTTTTAAAAATTATTTTATGTGTATGAGTGTTTTGTCTGTGTGTATGTAAGTGCCCCGTATTCATGTAATGCCCATGGAAGCCAGAAGAGGGAGTCAGATGGATGCTGGGAACTGAACCCAGATCATCTGCAAGAGCAGCCAATGCTCTTAACTGCTAAGCCATCTGTCTAGTCCCAGTCTTTAATTTCTTAATCTGTTGGAGATATATTTCACATTGCCAATGAAGCTAGATGTGTCAGGTAATGTAGGATTACTTCCATTTTGCAGATGAAGAACTTGAAGCTCTTAAAGGCTAAACAACTAATCTCAGGCTGGGCATGGCAGTACACACCTTTGATCCTAGCACTTGGAAGGCAGGAACAGGTGGATCTCTGTGAGTTCAAAGCCAGCCCAGTCTACATATCAAGTTCCAGGTCAGCTAGAACTACATAGTGAGACCCTGCCAATAAAAATAGTAATAATAGCTGGTCTAAGACTCCACACTTTACTAAGGGCTAGGATGCAAGTAAAGGGGTTTTATTTAGACACATGAAAAGTGAACCTTGCTGCAAAAACATAAAGTGCCCTATTATAAAGTGCCTCTGAAGTGACAATTTCTACAATATGCCTCTGTCTTCTGCCCCCACCCCCTGCCATGAGCCTGAATAGTTTTCTCTGATGCAGCTGGTCAAGTTAACTTAGAGTCAGGAGTCAGAACTTCTTTTTTGTTTTGTTTTTTTGAGACAGGATCTCCCTATAGCCCCAGCTGACCAGGAACTCACCACATAGACCAGGCTGGCCTCCATCTCACAGAGATCCTCTTGCCTTTGCTGGGATTAAAGGCGTGCACCACCATGCCTGGTTGGGAACCAAAATTTCTGCTCTTAGCCAAGAGCTCATCACATGAGCCAGGAACTCCTCTGCTTCCTCATTTGAATTTTTCTGGTTCCTGTCTTAGTTACTTGCATGTAGATCCTACTTGCTCATGTCTCAAAATGTCTCGGATGTTGAGATGTCGAAAACTTGCAAAGATCTCCTTCCAAACCTTCCAAATTTTCCAAAGGAATTGGTGTGACTTCATCTTGTGACATCAGGAGGGAGGGCACCAGGTGAGAGGTGGGATCTGTGTCCTGACATGGGTGGGGAAAGGGCAGTTTTCTGCTTTTCCACATCCTTAAGATTATACACTCTGGACAGTTTGCTGTCAATTTTCTCCTTATGTATCCATCATTGTAAGCCACCAACCTGATTCAGATTGCAATATTAACTATGCATTTAAGTTGCTTAAGGATAAACAGATGGGTGCAAAATAGATATACATTCCAAAATGATCCATTTTTAAAAATGATCTGCTTTTATTTGTTTTACATACGGTACAATCTAAATTGAAAAACTGGGGGGCACTGGGAGGATTGGTGTTATCGGCTCACTCAGCAAGTATGTATTGGCTGCCCTAGTAAGTGCCAGCCGTGGTGCCATACACAAGATGGGACTAGTATAGGGTACAGAAGAATCCTCATCTCTGCTCCTGAGGAATTTATAATTCAGTAGCTGAGGCAAGTGATGAGCAACATCACAATACTGACAGATGTGGTCAGTTCTAAGGTGTCAGTTGTGTAGGAGTGCCCTGGGGGGGGGGGTCAGCTGCTTGGAGGTGCAGGAGAGCCTTCCTGGAGATGCAGGAGAGCTTCTCTGAGGAGAGTGCATGTCAGCAGAGACAAGCTGCCATTCACTCAAGGCTGTGCACCTGCATGTGCAAGTCTTAGTTCTGGTGCTGGGACAAGTTACTGTGTCAGCACTCATGTCCTGTGTAAAATGAGGAAAAATCCCATACGGCAGGGTTGCTGTGAAAATGAGAGGTACATGTTGAAACTCCTCTCACAGGACCAGTCATCTATATACCAAGTGCTTGCTGTTTGCTATAATTAGATTTCGGTGATGCGTGTCTGTGTGGTGTGTGTGTGTGTGTGTGTGTGTGTGTGTGTGTGTGTATAAATATGTTTTTCCATCAAGGGAAAAATAACTAAAGAAAAGTTTGGGCAACAGTTAAAAGGGGGAATTTACAAAAGATCCACAGTTGCATGGGGGGATTCATGTCCTGTTTGAGATGACCCAGCACCCGATATGCTAAGACTCTGCTAAGCACTGTTTTCATGAGTTAATTTAAAATTTTTGTTTGTTTGTTTGGGGGCTAATCTCTTCCTGGTTGCATTTTAATTGATGCTCCAATCAGATTTTTCAAGTGAAAATGAGGTGCCTGAGAAAAAGTGCCAAGGCCAGAGGACACAAAGTTAATTAGATTTTGGCAGGTTCAAGTGACAAATAAGTGTTTTAAGGCAGATGGGGGTAGGGGGTAGCCTAAAAGTTCAACCCAGGCTTTACTCCAGGGCCAGGAATCCGGTGCCTAGTGATGGGACCTAGAAGAGGGGCAGTGAGTGCAGGACATCAGGAAGCTAGGTCCCAGCCTCTGCGCAGTCGGGGGCAGTCCCTCCCCAGGCCGCCCCGGATCTTGGATCCCGGCCATCTCCGCACCCTTCAGTTGGGTGTGGGTGATGACGTGACCGCCACCAAAGGGAAAGCTAACACGGAAATGGGAGAGGGCGGGGAGGAGAGGCGCTGGGGGCAGGATGCAGGGGAGGAGTGGGAGGGATGGAGCGCAGTGGGAGGTGTGGAGCCGGGAGGCGCTGGCTTGAGAGCCGGACTCGGAGCCCGGCGGGCGGCAGCAGGGGCGCCAGCTCTCTGGGTCGCTGCCAGCCAGGTGAGCCCGAGATGCTGCGGCTGTCGCTGCTGCTGTGGCTCTGGGGGCCGCTCAGTCCCCTAGTCCAGTGCATCTTGGCCGCGCAGGCTGAAGATGTGGTAGAGCTGGAGTTCTCCACCCAGCGGCCGCTGCACCTGGTGAGTCCCTCGTTCCTGTCCATCACCATCGACGCCAACCTGGCCACCGACCCGCGGTTCCTCACCTTCCTGGGGTAAGCGCCAGCCTCCACGACCAGCCCCCTCTCCTGTCCTCGTCCACCCACGCCAGCCGGGACAGCCCCTCTCCTTTCTTTTCTGTTGAAACAACTTTACGGTTGGTCTTGGGAGCCTCCTTCTCACGTCTTGTCAACCCCCAAAAGCTTTTCCCTGTTTTTCCCAAAAGCTTTTTCCTGAGCACCAGCTAAGCCCAGACATTAAGGGGAAATTTGGAGGGAAAAAACCAAACCAAGCCAAAACAATTCCCTGTCATGTCCCCAAGCACCTAGGTTGGACCTGGGTAAATGTCAGTAGAGTGCAATGAGCCTTTAAATTTGCTACAGTGTAGGACAAATAAGCTTGTGGACTAGGCTGTTGTCCTTTAACCTCAGGAAAATTCTACGTTTTTTGTTTTGTTGTTGTTGTTTGTTTGTTTTTGAGTCAGGTTCTCCCTGTATCCCCAGCTGGCCTGGAACACTCTATGTAGACCAGGCTGGCCTAGAACTCACAGAGATCCACCTGCCTCTGACTTGGAAGTGCTGGTTCTAAAGGTTTACACCACCATACCCACTAAGAAATTTCTATTTTTAAGAGGAAGGAAGAAAAGTCAGAAGAGGCCTCAAAGTAGAGCACTCATTGTTTCTGTATTCCTTTTAGTCAAGCATTTACATATTAGGGGGTTGGGGCTGTAGCTCAGGTGGTAGACCATGTGCAGAAGCCCTGGGTTCCACTCCCACCACCACATAAAGCCAGGCATGGTGATCCAAACCAAAATCCCAGCACTTGGGAGGTGGAGGTTGGAAGATCTGAAGTTTAAGGCCATCCTTAACTTCATAGCAAGTTTGAGGCCAGCCTGGGCAACATGAAACAGAGAGAGAGAGAGAGAGAGAGAGAGAGAGAGAGAGAACGAGAACACTAAATATCTAAACATTTGTCAAGTGAAACTTAGACTATGACAGTGACTCACAGCCCTAAAAAAAAAGCTGCCTTATAGCTGGGCGAGGTGGTGCATGCCTTTAATTCCAGCACTCGGGAGGCAGAGGCAGGTGGATCTTTGTGAGTTCAAGGCCAGCCTGGTCTACATTGTGAGTTCCAGGTCAGCTGGGGCTACAGGGAGACCCTGTCTCAAAAAGATTAAAAACAGAGAGAGAGAGAGAGAGAGAGAGAGAGAGAGACTAGTTTGGAAGGGGGTCCGTGGGAGTGGGAGCAGGAGAGGGCAGTGGGGATTGAATATGATCAAAATATATGTTATACATGTATGAAGGTGTCATCATGAAACCCATTATTATGTACAATTAATATATGCTAATAAAATACTTTAGAAAGATGTTTCTCCAAAGTGAGGGTGTGAAGTATGGTGTTGCTTTATCAGCTGCAAGAGTTTTCTTCCCTACTGAGGAAACATCTGTGCTGCATACATGACTCTGCTCTGTGAGTGCGGACTGACCCCAAGATGAGGAGCCGCTGGAACAGCTGCAGGTCATCCAGACCACAGGAGCCTTCTGAGAGGACCACAGCTTTTGTTGTTTTGCGACATAGTGTAACCATTAGCTCAGGCTGGCTATGAGTTCATGATCTCCCTTCCTCAGCTCCTGAGTGCCACCATGCCCAGCTGACCACACTTTCATCAGCCCATTATCTCACCATTGTCAAAGGCCTAGACTCTGCCCTTCCTAAGCCCACACTACCAGGTGCCCATTGCTAATTTTACAGAGCTTCATGGCTAAGAGTTTGTGGAGGTCAACCACCCAGGCTGAATCCCCCATCATGGCAAAGCTGGGTGGTGGATTTTTCAGCTTGCTTGGTCACTTAAAGACTTGGTTTCTTTATCTGTAGAACAGGCTTTCTAGAACCTGACTCATTCATGTGAGGGGATTTGATAATAAGTGCTTACTACAATGTTTGACTCAGAGTTGAAGTTTAAGCTAATTGTTTCTTGGTAAGCTGCCATGCTTGCTAACCATTTTCCTGTTTTCTGTTTTTCTTTTGATTTGGGTTAACCTCTCTATTTTCTGCTGTGGCAGTAGAGAGAGAAAGAGAATTTCCTAGCGGAGGTGAGCACTTCCCCTTAGGGAAAGGAGGCTGACACCAATGGGGATGAGCAGAATACTCTGGAAACTGGCTGAAACATGGGCCTCCACAGCTGAGGATGGAAGGCTGGATGGGTGGGCAAGGGGAGGTGTGCCCCTGAAAACAGTGAGGAAGTCCCTGAGGCTACCAAAGTGGGAGGACTGTAGTCATCTTCCACTGTAACCTGCACAGGCCCCACCAGGTAGGGGAGATTGCTCCCCAAAGAAACAGAACAAGAGAAAACCCTGCACTATGACTTTTGGGGTCTAGGCATGATTACCCACACTCAAGCTCACTCCAGTCAACTAGCACCCCTACTCCAAGCACACAGACCTTCCATCTTACACATTACGGTGAGGTTGTACCTCCCGGCACATTTAGGCCTCCCCTAGCCCTCTTCCTTCCTGCCCCACTGATGGCAACACAGTAGAAACAACTGGTTTGATGGGTTTTGTTTTTCTTTTGATTTCCTTTTGTTCACAGAACAATTCATCCTATCTGTACAAGCTCCCCAGGGCTGCCTTCTGACCATTTCCGGTCCCTTCCCTTGGCAGGGGCTATCTTCCATATCTGTGCCTGGCAGCCTCCACAAGCTACATGCACTCTTCTCAGCCAAGAAGCAAGAGCTCCTCCTGACTCAGACCTGGCTGTGAATTTAGAGTCTGAGGGTTCATCTCCCCGGCGTGGTTAGCACTGTGCTCAGGGTGGCCCAGCCACCTCAGAAGATGATGCTAAGCTGAATGTCTGTCCCAGGAGAACAGGGTGAGATGAGTGCCGTTTTATCATGATGAAGGTGTATGGGCAAGGACGGCAAAAGCTGAGAGAATCAGGTGGGCCAGGGTAGCCCAGGTAGCCACATTCGGTCAGCTTTGTCATTTGCCAACCTCTTTCTGAGCGTCTCTTGGCTATCCTTATTCACTTAGTGCTTGTTACAACACTGAAATGAATACTATGATCAGCCCCATTTTAAAATTGGTAAAGTGCTTGCCTAGCCACACAGAAACCCTGGGTTCAGTCCTTGGCACTGCATAAAATTAGGCATGGTAGCTGACACCTGTAACCCCAGCACTCAGAGGAAGAGGGAGGGGATCAGAAGTTCAAGGTCATCCTCAGCTACTTAGCAAGACCAGCCTAGGTTACATGAGATTCTGCCTGAAAAAAATTTTTAATTAAAGCTCTAAAGAAATGAAAGGGCTGGAGAGATAACTCAGCAGTTAAGAGCACCAGCTTGTCTTGTAGAGGACCCAGGTTTGATTCCCAGCACACACATGGTGGCTAACAATCATCTATAACTCTAGTTCCAGGGAATTCCAGTGCCTTCTTCTGATCTCCACAGATATTGCATGACACCGGTGCATTTACACACACGATGGCAATATGTTCATACACATAAAAATATTAAATAAAAAAATTTTAAGGCGAAGACAGTAAGGTCAAGGGATATTAAATAACTCACTCATGGTCAACCATCTAGTATTAAAGTGGCACTTGATTTATTTATTTTTATTTTATGTGTTTGAGTGTTTTGTCTGCATATATGTGCTCCACCTGTGCAGTACCCACTGAGGCCAGAAGAGGGTGTCAGGTTCCCTGGAACTGGAGTTACTGATGGCTGTAAGCCCCCACTGGGTGTTGGGAACTGAACCTGGGTCCTCTGAAAGAGCAGTGAGTGCTCTTAACCACTGGGCCATCTCTCCAGGCCCTGTTATTTTTTATTTATTTTTAGTATTTTATTTATTATTTTTATTTCATGTGTATGAGTGTATTCCCCACATGTATATGAGTGCACCCATGTCGTGCGATGCCTTGGAGGTCAGAACAGGGCATTGGATTTCTTGGAACTGGAGTTACGGATGGTTATTAGCTGCCATGTGGGTGCTGGGAATTGAACACAGGTCCTCTGCAAGAGAAGTCTGTGCTCTTAACCACTGAGCCATCTCTCCAGCCCCGACCTGTTTTTATATTATGTGTAGAAAGTGACATTTGAAACCCGACTCTGATCACAGAAACAACAGTACACAAGAAGACAAGCCAGTTTTTTTGTTTGTTTGTTTGTTTGTTTTAAAGGAAACAGGGCAGAGTATGTTAGGAAAAGATTGGTTGGAAACAAATTGAGAGACTGATATAAGAAAAGACAAGGTGGAGCAGGAGGAGGAGGGGGAGGAGAGGAGGAATCGTTGACATACCTGTGGGAGAACTGAGGCCCAAACCCCTAAGGTACCTCTAATGAGGCTTAAACAGATTTACTTAGATGGCATGATTCTGGCTTCCCACAATGGCAAACAGATTTCATTCACATTTGTAACCAGAGAACACATAGCACATAAAATTTAAATGCTAACGATAGAACACTCTAGAATTGAAAAGAAACGTCATTTAAATTTCTTTTCCCTGTGAAAATCAGTCAACAAATTAGTCAAAATATATTCTCAGCCTGCTTTGTGAGGAACTCTAAAGAAGCCCTGACCCGAGACATATAATAGGAAACAGAAATATGATGTGAGTCTCATGTGCAAGGCACATATGTAATTTTAAAAGTTTTGGTAACCACATTTTTTAAAAGGCAAAAAGACTGGACATGAGGGCTATAGTCTAAGCACTTGGGAAGCAGAGATAAGAGGAGCACAAGTTCAAGGCTAGGCTGGGCTATTCAGCGAGAGCCTGTCTCAAATAACAAAACACTAAAATAAAAGGTAAAAATGTGAGTGAATTTTAAATTTTATTTAGCTAATTTATTCAAAATATTACTTTTACATGTAATACATATGTTGGAGATTGAATCCAGGACCTTGTGCATGCTAAGCAGGTTGCTCTACCACTGAGTTTCATCCTTACCCAACATTAAGGAGATGGCCAAGCATCGTGGTGCACACCTTTAATCCCAGCACTTGGGAGCCAGAGGCAGAGGCAGGTGAAGCTCTGAGGTTGAGTTTAACCTGGTCTACAT